CAAGTGCCTCTCACCAGAGCTGCCCCTGGCCAAGCAGCTGGTGTGTCGATGGGCCAAGGTGAGTGGGGGCTGGGAAAAGTGGTGGGGGCTGGGCTAGCACCCTACTTGGGCTCAGACCCCTGTCTCCCCCACCCACCCCCACACACAGTGTAACCAGCTCTTTGAGCTCCTCCAAGACCTTGTCGACCATGTCAATGACCATCACGTCAAGCCGGAACAGGATGCTCGATACTGCTGTCATTGGGAGGGCTGTGCCCGCCATGGCCGTGGCTTCAATGCCAGGTAAGGGAGCAGGGTGAGGGCAGGGAGGGTGGGGCTAGGTACCTACTGAGCTGAGTGTGCCCCTGGGTCATTTCTGGAGCAGGTACAAGATGCTCATCCACATCCGGACTCACACCAATGAGAAGCCACACCGCTGCCCCACCTGTAACAAGAGCTTCTCCCGCCTGGAAAACCTCAAGATCCACAACCGCTCCCACACAGGTGAGCTGCTCTTGGGGGGAGGGGTGGGGGACTGCAGGATGGGAAAGGGGAACAAATCTCATTGTTCACAACCTGCTCCCCTTGTTTGAGACAGGGTCTCATGTAGCCCAGGCTGGCTTCTAACTCTGTAGCCAATGATGACCATGGACTAGCAATCTCCCTGCCGTCATCCCCAAGTGTTGGGATTACTTTGATGTCACTTGCTGGGGGCCACAGTTTACAAGGACATGATCATCTGACAACACCTTAGGACAGGCGGACTGGGTCTGCTCCTCCTCCTTGTACCCTGAGCCCCACAGAACCACACACATCATCTTAAGTTCCTTAACTACTACATTAAAAGGAGGAAAGCTGGGCATGGTAGCACACACCTTAATCTCAGAATTTGGGAGTCAGAGGCAGGAGGATCTCTGTGAGTTCAAGGCCTACCTGGTCTATATAGCAAATTCCAGGCCAGCCAGAATTATATAGTGAGACTGTGTCTAAAACAAAACAATAATAATAATAAAAAAGCAGTATGAAATAGGTGAAATTAATTATAACTATGTATTCTATGAAACCCAATATATAAATATGCATATGTATGTGTGTGTGCACGACACATACACATATTTTAAAAATGCCAGCAAAACTAGGCATGGTAATGAATGTCTGTACTCCCAAATAACTGGGAACTTGAAGCAGGAGGGTCACTTGAGCTGAGGACTGACACTCCATCTCAAAATCAGAAAAAGAAACAACGACCACAACAAATGTCAGGACTGAATGCCTCTTCTCAAACACGTCTTACCCATATCTCCTACACGTAGCTCACTCTGTCTCCCTTTGGACCCAGCTCCATTTCAAGGCTGAGCAGCTACAGGAGGCTCCTGTCCTGGCCAGCACAGTGACTCTGTGAGCTAAGCCATGCATGGTGGTGTACACTTTAATCCCAGCACTCAGGAGGCAGGCAGATCTCTGAGTTCGAGGTTAGTCTGATCTACAGATCTGGTTCTAGGATAGCCAGGGCTACACAGAGAAACCATGTCTTCAAAAAGAAAACTGTGAGCCATTCTGAGTAAGCCAACATGAAAGAACAAAGCAGTTACTGGAACCTACCAGAGCCAGGCCTACATGGACACACACTTCAAGGTCAGGTTCTGCCTAACAGTGTTCCCAGGCTCTACAGCAAAGGACCTGAAGGGTGCGCAGAGAGGAGGCCCAAGCACAGCTGCAGCTTCCTCTGGTTGGTTTCTGCCTGCTGCCTTTAGCTGGGTCAGCTTCATGCCAGGCTCTGACTGTGTCTCCCAAATCAGAGTCAGAATGCTTCAGGAGCTCTGGGCCTGGGAGAGGCAAGGGAATAGGTGGAAAGATCTCACTGTTGCCAGCACTCAATGCAGTCCACCCTTACAGGTGAGAAGCCCTACGTCTGCCCCTATGAGGGCTGCAACAAGCGTTACTCCAACTCGAGTGACCGCTTCAAGCACACCCGTACCCACTACGTAGACAAGCCCTACTACTGCAAGATGCCCGGCTGTCACAAGCGCTACACGGACCCCAGTTCACTGCGCAAACACATCAAAGCCCATGGTCACTTTGTGTCCCATGAGCAGCAGGAGCTCCTGCAGCTGCGCCCACCCCCTAAGCCACCACTGCCCACCCCTGACAGTGGCTCCTATGTCAGTGGGGCTCAGATCATCATCCCGAACCCTGCTGCCCTTTTTGGAGGCCCCAGTCTACCTGGCCTACCCTTACCTCTGGCCCCTGGTCCCCTTGACCTCAGTGCTCTGGCCTGTGGCAATGGTGGGGGTGGGGGTGGGGGTATGGGCCCTGGGCTGCCAGGCTCTGTCCTACCCCTCAATCTGGCCAAGAACCCACTGTTGCCCTCACCCTTTGGGGCTGGTGGACTAGGCCTGCCTGTGGTCTCTCTCCTGGGTAGCTCTGCTGGTAGCAAGGCTGAAGGGGAGAAGGGTCGTGGGTCAGTGCCTGCCAGGGTCCTGGGCCTGGAAGACCATAAGACCCCTCTGGAAAGGACGGAGCGCAGCCGCTCCCGGCCAAGCCCTGATGGACTCCCTTTGCTACCAGGCACTGTACTGGACCTGTCCACAGGCAACTCAGCAGCCAGCAGTCCAGAGGCGTTAACTCCTGGCTGGGTGGTCATTCCACCAGGGTCTGTGCTGCTCAAACCAGCTGTGGTAAACTGAAACTGGGCAACCCATCTACCAGCTGTGACAGCTCATCCCCCGACGAACAGAAACTCTTCTGCGAAATAGCAATAATATCCTTCTGCCCCAGGGTCGAGCTGCAGCCCCAGACAAGCTGGGTGGCAAGGTGGCAAGGATGGTGCTAGAAGGTCTTTGCTGGCCTCCTGGCTCCAGAGTGAGGACCTGGCTTGGACCTGTTGTCCAAGAAGAGCCATTCTCTTGGGTGCTAAGGCCCCACTCACCTCCACTTCCCTAGTCCATAGTCTGTGTGAGGCCTTCCTCTGCCTGTCCTCCCAGGACCCTCAGTCCTGCCTCTTGTTCTGGTGCATTCCTCTCCATGACCAGCCTGGTTGGGCAGGTTTCCATTCCTCCCTGCCTTACCTACTTGTCAGCTAGAGAGCCCCCAGTGATCATAGATAGGCCCGTGACTGGGAATTCCTCTTAGACCCCTTTCCCTCTGGTCCACCCTCTAGAGGGAGAGCAAGACAGACACAGGCTGCCTCTCCCCGCCTGCTGCTATGACAAGGTGCTTCCCTGCGTGCTTAGCAGAGAAGCCTGCTCTGCCAGCTCCTCTTTCCTGCCAGAATTAGCCCTGCCAAAGGGTTGGCAGGACTTTCCAAAGAGGAGGGGCAGCTGACCACTCAGCCTTCTCCTTGGGAATGTGCAAGCAGGTTCAAAGGATCACGGTACTGACCTGGACCGGCTTGGCTTGGTCTGCAGAAGCTTGTAAGGCATTAGTCTACACCAGGTGGGCTATATAGCCTTGGGAAGCAGCTATAGGTTTGGGGGCTCCAAAGTCATGGAATGCAGGGAAGGAAGACTCGTTGGAAAGGAGCTTTTTAGAAAGCACTGACTGAAGCCCCTGGGTGTAAGGGAGGATAGGCATTAGAACCAACTCTTTGCTTGGGAAAAGCTGGCTAGAGAAAGGCTTGGACATGTGACAGGGTTCTTTCCTGACTTTCCAGTTGAACCCTTTTCTCGGTGGTGCCTCTCTTGTGCATGAGCTCTGCCCAAGCCAGTGATCCCAGGGCCTGTGCTATTCAGAATAAGGTTTAGCACTTACTTGGGGCTAGAACAAGGCAAGGACATTGGAGGACTATGTGCTCCACAGTTCCAAAAGGCTAGCTGTCCCACCTTGGGCCTCTTGCTGTCCCCTGTACTATGCTGCAGTGGCTAAGCCCTTCATGTCCCCATCTGTAGAACAAAAGAGCTGCTGGGGTGGTAGTGGGGTCCTTAGCTCTGTGGTTCCTCTGAGCAGCTCTGCCTAGTCTTTTTCCTCAGACTGCCCTTCTGTTTCAGAAGGGTCACCCTGCCCTCACCTACCTGACTGCTGGTCTTAGGACCCCAGCCCTGATGGGGCTCGGCTGTGCTGGCTCTACCCCTTGAAGGGGCTGTGAGCAAGTTAAGGAGCTGGTCTCCTACCTTTGGGTCTTCCTAGGATCCAAGCAACCTCCTGGCTCTGTTAGGGCCTTAGGCCTTAAGTCCCTGGCTGGGGGATTGGGTTTGAGACTCAAGCCCAAGAGCAGAGGAACAGAGCACTGGACATTAGCTTGGCATGTGACTCAGTGATAGACCAGGCTTGGAAGGGCTGGTATACTTATTGTCAGTTCATTGCACATTCCAGGATTCAGTATTTTAACAGGTTCTAAGTGCCTTTCTATTGTAGCTTATGGTTTTCCTCCTTTTGGCTCCATTGCTGTTAGCATAGAGTTTTAAAAAAAAGAGAGATAAGCTAATGACTATAACAATATATTCCTCCATGTGAGAGGAAGTTTATACAGAAACAATAAAGTGAGTTGCAAAGATGGTTTCTGCATAGTACATGTGCCAGGAGCTGGGACACCTGTTCATGTCTGGTTGTTGGCCTCCTGACTAGAGCACCTGAAGGCCTGGTCTGGGGCTTTCACCTCAGCCTGCCACAGGCTGTCTCCATTGTGAAGCTGTCATCAGAAGGCCTCCCATCTGGGACTAGAAGGGTAGGTAGTAAGGGACAGGTGGATATAGGTTATTCTGAAGTACACGTCACAAGGTTCAGGCCTTAGTCTGTTGACACCTTGGTCCAAAGCAAGAGGCTGGCCAATGCTTCCACTGCTCACAAACATCCTGACCAATCTACTGAATAATATCCAATCCTAGCTGGAAGGTCTGGGACTAGGACTTCTTTATCCCAAGGGAAGGCTGGTGGTTTCCTCAGGACTGTGGAGGACACATAGGTGGGAACAAGAGGGATGTTCACCAACATTCCACCCACAAGGCTGTTGACGGCTGCTACTTCCTTACTCCATCACAGCCCAAAGCAGGCAGTAAGTGTGCACACCTTCTCAGACAGGAACATGGAGTGGAGAAACACAGAGAAGACATTTATTACCAGGCTATAAATTATGAGGCAATGGGTGGGGTGTGGAGAGCCCAGCAGTCACGTTTTGGGCCTCTGCCCTTTTTCTTTGTCTTCCTGGGCTTGTATCCGGAGTTCCTCATCTAGGCGTTCCTTTGCACGGACAACCTGAGGAGGAGGGGGATCAGGGTCTGACAGTCTGCTCTTTGCCTGAATGGAGGACCTTTCCCCCTGGAGGGCAGTGGAATAACATGATTAAAACAGCTTTACTAGCACCCAGGGCAGGAGGGGAAGTGTGTGGCATCCTTCCTCAGAGTTAAGGGACACTCACCTTTGACTGCAGGTAGAAAGAGCCACCCACGGACTTATCGTTCACCTTAAATAGATGTTCATAATTCTGCAGGGAGATGAAACCGTGCATATTAGTTTCTGGGTGAGACACAAGGAAGGCAGTGACCCACGTCATGCGGGAAGCTGCTGTGACCACAGGCTATGAGAGGGACAGGAAACCATGTGGGGATGGCTCAGCTGCTACAGCTAGCTGCCATAGCCCTGTAGTTGTTCTGCCTGGGGCTTTTCAAGCTTCCACTGGCTGTGGTTAGCACTTCCACACTTGCCCTCTGCCCTCTCCTGTCTGTGGACTACCACCCCAACACAGAGGGTCTCACCTTCTGGACCTCCTCAGGGGTCAGCTTGGAGATGTTAAGAATCTGTTGGGCTTCCTGGAGGCTGAGGCCAGAGAGATTGGATGCAGCTGCAGACTGGTGCCCAGCACGACCTCGAGCATCAGCTGCTGCCTGGCTTGCTGTAGATAACATGGTGACTGCTTAGCCCCCTGGGTGGCTCAGAGCTTCCCCTAAGCCTTCTAAGTGACATGAAAAAAAACATTTTGCTGAGTGGCAAACATCCCACACTGAATGACAGGATGAGGCCACACTAAGCTTTTGGTCCCCCAGTCTAGACTAGGTGATTTGCCCCTCTTCCTTCCCTCACTCCTTGTCCCAGAGGCCTAGCATGTGTGGAACTTTAAGCTACTTTGGGGACCAGAGTGAAGCCACAGGCGGGGAGGAGCAATAGCTGGTGTGAAGAGCCTCCACGATGGCCTAGCCAGTGCCTAGACTATCACAGCAGACTGCCTCTGGTGACAGAATAAAATTTTAACTTTGCAGCCAGTTAGTCTGCATTGGGATTACTCAGCTCTCCTTGAAGGCAGCCAGACTCTTACTTTATTTACCAAAATGGGCTGCCAAAGGGCTGTTCACCTCAGACACTCTAGCCAGGCCTAACTGGAAGTTAACTTTTCCTGTACATAGGAATCTCTCAAAGTCTTGCACTGCCTCCTACTGTGGGAAAGTACTCCAGGGCACCTAAGCCACAGAACTCTACCCAAGAGATCCCTTCATTCACAAGTGACACATCACACGGGAAATCTAAACTGCATAAAGGTTCCCAAGCATACAAAGAAATAGAGGCTTACCTGCAAACTCCTGCCTCAGGGCCCTGGCAAAGGCTCTGCCCACCACCTGCACACCCATCACAATGATCTGGGCCAGGTACTTGGCCTGTGGGTACAAGAGGCATCTTGTAGACGGCTACTGAGGGGATCTGTGGACTAGCTCTTCTAAACTTCCTTTCTTTGGTGGCTCCAGAAACTCAAACTGGAGTTCCCAGAGTCACACTAGCTCCCCTTGGCCTTCAGGAAAAGGCTGTATGGGATGAAGACACTAATTTTGGAAAGACTTTTTCTTGAGAACCAACATACAGAACAGTCCAGACTGCTACCAGTTTAGTTCAAGGCCACTGATGGCTCTTCTATACTTTTGAAACAGTCTAGCCCAGTTTTTATATTGCCAGGGAAAACAGATCCATTCTAACTCTCCCAAGACTATTCAAGTCCTATGACTTGGAATCTGTCCATGAATAAAACAACAAACAACAACAAAAATCACTAAAGGTCTCTGTGTGGTGCTGCATGCTTGTAATCGTAGTATCAGGGAGGCTGAGGCAGAGTGATCCTGAGCCTGGAAGACGCCTCAACAGTGAGAAGCACTTGCTCATGCAACCATAGGGACCCAAGTTCAGATCCCAGTTTCTGTAATAAGCCAGGCATGGTCTTGTCCTGTGTATACCTGTTACACAAACACTGAGTAGGGTGAAGGCAAGAGGAACATTCGGGCTTCCTGGCTACTACCTAGCCAAAAACAAGTGTGCCAGTTTGGGGGCGGGCAGAGGGGGTTGGCAGCAGAGGGACTCTCCCTCAAAGGAAAAAGGTGGAGAGTGATTAAAAAAAAGGACACCTAACACCACTCTGCACGAATCCATGCATGTGTGCATGTACACAACACACACACACTACAAAGGGGTGGGGAGAGCGAAGAGTCTACTTAGAACACAATGCTCAAGAGAGAAGAAAGAGCTTAAAGGGAATTCAGACGCATGGGATTCAATTCCTGCTCTCAGAGCAAGCTGTACAGCCACTGTCCAAGCAAAAGTCAACTCCTGCATGGCAAGGCTACCTAGATCCCAATACTATGTAAGTCACACTATGTAAGTCACATGAAGGCCCTAGGGAGTCTAAGACTTGATCAGCAGCAGAGTTTGCTGAGGGGTGGAGGTTCTGGGGAAGATAGCGTTTCCTCTCAGCTGAGGGTCCTCCTCAGGTACAGGTGGAGCCATGGCAGTGAGCTACAAGTGAAGCAGGCAGGTCTAGGATTAGACACCCTGGAGCATTCTAGGCTGGAAAACCACAGAAGGGAGGATGGATTAATGGTGACCCATTAAGATTTTATTGTGAAACAAATGCTGTAGACAGCATTCATAAAACTGGATCCCATTGAGGCTGGAGAGATGGCTCAGTGGTTAAGAGCACTGACTGCTCTTCCAGAGGTCCTGAGTTCAATTCCCAGCAACCACATGGTGACTCAACCATCCGTAATGGGATCCAATGCCCTCTTCTGGTGTGTCTGAAGACAGCCTGCAGTGTACTCACATACATAAAATAATCTTTTTTAAAAAAAGTTATATATGGATTAAAAAAACACAACTGGATGCCATGTCTGTGAAATGATATAAAGGGGCATGCAGAGAACTCTTTAAAAAGACCCACTGCAAGTTAGCAAGGTTTACTGGAACTCGGGAGAGGCGTGGGATAGTTAAGCCCTCGTACCTATAGCACCTTACTCCAAAGGGATAACAAGGGGGCCTTGCATCAGGACTCAGACTCCAGAATTCGCCTTTCTGGCTTCAAGGCCTTGTCCTTTCTTTAGCAAGCAGATATAATTATGGGTCATTAGGGAAACTTCGCAGCAGGTTGGAATTCAGAAACCCTACCTTCCATACAAGAAAGCATGGCCTAAAGACCCTTATGTGATCAAAGACAGGCATGGAGTTGGCCAGCTGTGACACAAAACAGGAGTAACAAGGCGCTTGCTGATTGGTGATCACACCTGACTTGTGCCTTGCTCACTTAGGACCACTGCCAAGGACAACAGGAAGCTCTGAGATGGAACTCAGCTTCTGACTGGCCCTAGAGGGATCCCTTGACCTACAAAACCCCTCAGGAGATCTCACACCACACAGAAAGCCTGCCTTCGTGTTGCCATACATGCATAACATGGCCTTGGAAGCAATGATGTACTTTTCTGATAAGGTCCTTGACTACTGTTAAATAACGGATGTTAAGAACTGAGGCTGCATGATGGTGCACACCTTTAATCCCAGCACGGAGGAGGCAAAGGCAGGCGGATCTCTCAGTCTAAGGAGAGCTCCTAGTCTACACAGCAAGTTCCAGGATGGCCAGAGCTATATAAAAACTCAGGAAGGTCTCTATGCAGAGAAACAAAAACAACAAAACAGGCTATAACTGCAGAATCCCCACCCCATCCCCAAACACTTCAAGCCAAAGGCCTAGAAACTATTAGGAAAGGCAAAATGGCTGCAAAGGTTCACCAGACAGAGCTACCCTTGTTTCTGTAGGTTTTCTCCAGAGGTTCTTCCTACCCTGGTCAAATTCTCAACCCCTATGTGCCTCAGTTTCCCGACAGCATAAATGGCTGTCAGAGACTGATGTTTGGCATGGAGCCTAAATGACACAGCAGGTGACCAGCAAGTATTGGTTTTCATGTATTATTATTCTGTTTTTATAAAAGTTTGTCAGTAGTCAGACAGTGCTAGCCTAGTGGTTCATACCGTAATCCCAGTACTCAAGAGGCAGAGGTAGGTGGACAGCCACAAGTTCAAGGTCACCTTGGTATACATAGTAAATTTCAGGCTAGCAAGAGTTATATAAGGAGAACCTGTTTGTTTAAAAAAAGAAAAGAAAAAAGAAAAGAAGGAAAGAAAAAAACCAGTTTCTTCCAGTCAGGCCCTTTGATGCCTCAGAGGTAAAATCCACACAATGCAGTCTTCTAGGAGCCATGAAGCCGGCAGCAAGAGAAAGGTGCCAGAACGAGGCTGACCTTTCACTGGGATCCTACCTTTGCTTCGTAGCCTTGGACAAATTACTCAACGTTTCTGAACCACATCTTAAACTGCAAAGTGGGGAGAATAACGTCCTCCCTGGAGGAGAGGTGTCAGCTCGGGGAGGCACTGGAGACAGAAGCAAGTGGACTGCCAGGTAGGGAGGCTCCTAGAGTCAGAGCTCGGCCGGCTTTGCTCCCAAACCGACCCCTGCGCGGTGCTAATGGTCTGGCAGTCACGATGCTTTACTCACAGCCGAAGACTTCTGGGGTGCAGAGCTCTACCAGCTACAGCCCACTCCAAGGGTATTCAAACAGCCGTAACTAAGGCCCTCCTAAGAAGGCCTCCAAACAACTAACTCGCTGACAAGCCTGCCAGCTCACCTGGTGGGTAACTTCAGGCCAAGCAGTAGCTGAGGGCAGGTGACACAGCCACAGGACTCCAACCCTGAAACTTGCCATTAGCAATACAGTACTGTGGGGCAGAGGACCGTGCCATCAGACAGAAGAGCTGGTAAGGTAGTAGCAAAGTTCAGAACCCAGATAAAACTCAGAGCAGCAGGAGTTCAGACTAGCTCATGATCAGATTCCTGTCCTGGACATGTAACCATGACACCCCACTAAGAGGACGGTGACAACTGGATATGTAGCATGGAACTTACAGGTCTCTTGCTAATGCAGTATCTAGAGGCCCCAAGTGTCTAGCCAATGAGCTTCCTTCCTGGGGATCCCTTCCTGCAAAAGATATTTAATCTCTGGTTCACCCTGAGTAAACCGTATGCATGTTTATCTGCCATGAGTAAAGCAGCGTGGACAAGTAAGAACTGTCGCCTTCATCAAGGGCTGTCATGGGGGAGGGGCCTGCATCGTCCCTCAGCACGCCTCGCACTACTCTGAGCTAAGCGGGATTCCCTCACGCAGGCCCTGTTCTCGACTCTTCGAGGTTCCCATGGTGTCTGAGTGCACAGTACTTTGATAACCACATCCACCATCCCAGCCCCCGATGTTCATCACCCGGAGAAACATGGGCTGGGACCCCATATCTTAGACTGCATTTCATCTTGGGGTCCTAAGAACCCAGCACTCCAGTGTCAAGAAGTAGAGCAGGATAGCACCCCTGAGTTTCGCCTCCCCAAGCACTGTTCTGATACGCCAGCGGCAAGGTGGAAATGCAGAACAACACGCTACCTTTCCCAACTGGGAGGCAATGTGGCACAAAGGACCTCAACAAGGTTGGTAATCAGGGACCCCAAAAGTGGTGCTTAAGTCACAGAAGTGCATTAGGAGGTTCCCAGCTTTCAGGTCTGTGTGCAGGGTTCCTCCAGTGCACAGTGGCAGGGTCCTACAAATAGTTACCGGTGTCACAGCTACACAGGAGAAAGGTCGGGACTACACTGGCATTTATGACAGTGTTTCTGGGTTCCTAGTGGTCTAAACAGCAGGTGCACAATCCATATTTGAAAGAACATGACTGTCCATGAACCAACACTTTAATCAAGTCACTCTAGCTCTGTTTGGCCAAAGCTACAGTCTTATACAATCTACTTCCCAGGCAGGGTTTCTGTAAGCCTCCAGTGCTGAGGAAAGGCTCTGGTGGTGGCCCAGTTCTTGCACAGTGCTCCACTGCTGCCTACAAATTCAGTTTGTCCTCAGCTTGGTACTGATACCTCTCACCTCTGACTCCCTGCCCTGGCTTCCTTCACTATGAATGTCCTCCTTCCTAACTAGACACTGTCAAAGACTCAACACTGCCAAGGCTTGGTGGTAGTGGTGCACAACTACATCCAGCACTTGGGAAGCGGAAGCAGGACGGTTTGAGACCAGCCTGAGTTACAAAGCACAATAGTGCCCCAAAACAAAACCTGTAACATTCATAAAGACTTGGCAAAATATGACATAATCTGCCAAGTAAAATCCCCTAGGCTGCTCCTACTCACACCTTCCAACAGTACTTTCTTTTCCTCTTTTGGAGGTAGTACTGGGGATTGAGTCTAAGGCCTTACCTGTGGCGGGCAACACTTGAGCTATACCCCTCGGCCCTCGGCCCTGAAACTAAGAAATTCCTGATCTTCTTGCCCCAGCCTTCAAAGTGCTGTGTTTACAAGTGTAGGCCACCACGAGCAGCTTTAGTAAGTTCAAGGTTGAATGTGGAGAATGCATGCTAAAGACCCAGTTCCACGAGGAATCAACAAAGGTCCTCACTAAACGGCAGTGACCTAACTACAAAGCAGGAATAATATGGTGGCAAATGTGTAGTCTCAGAACATGAAAAAAGTCGGGCCCAAACTGACTCTTGCGGTAAAGATGAACTTGGAAATGTCAAATCATCTGAGCTTCAGATCCCTTAAGATGGGGACAAGTGAGAAGGATTAAATGACAACCTACATAAAGCTTCTGCTCCAGACATTTACTACCTACCTTCCTATGATTAACGATGCTCCCCAGCCGGGTGGCGTGCCGCGCACCTTTACTGGCAGCGCTTGGGAGCTGGAGGCAGAGAGGCAAATGGATCTTAGTGAGTTTAAAGCCAGCCTGAGCTATTACACGAGGCGAGCTACGATATCTATATACATAGTGATACGCAGTCACAAACAAACAGGATCCCCCAACCAACCGCCTTCCAATCACTTAGGGGCAAACCTCAAGAACCTGCGGGCAAGTTTCAGGTGCCAATGGTGCCACAAACGCTCAGCCTTCCTGATTTCAATTCTAGCTCAAGTCTCAGGTCTACCGCTTCCTTGGACGAGCCAACTGCCAAATGCGGTTAAAAAGACAAGCGACACCGTCGATATCGCCGAGTCCTGCCACTCAGGAGCCAGCCCAGCCAACAATCGCCTCCTCCTATTGCTTACAGCGGATCGCGCACGCCGAGGCAGGGAACGCAGAGGCCAGACTTGGCCGGGAGCTTTCCGCCAACTGAGCCCGGGTTCCCGGGTCCGCGGTCCTCACCGCCCGGGCGCCAACGACCGACCCGGCACCACGCTACAGACCCTGCTTCCTGCGGAGTACGCGGGGTGCACGGCATCAGAACCGGAGCCCGCCGCCGGACTCCGACTAGACTTCCCTTCCCGAACGCCCCAGTCCAGGCCTCACCATGGCGGCCGCTCCACCTTAGGGGGACGGGTGCCGCTTCCCGACCCAGTGGGACCAGCTCAAGGGTTGCTGGTGGGTCAGAGGTCAAGAGAGACAGAAGAGCGCGTGCGCACAGACGCGACGCACTTCCAGAGGCGTTACTCTCGCGGCACCGCGCATGTGGGCGGAGCTTGCCACGGGATCGGCGGACCTTTGGGTTTCTCCATATTTAGCGCAGTTGGGTGGCCTTGGGACTGGTGCGCCAAGTTGTTTCTTACCTTCATTTTCCCAAAACATTTAGGAAAAAGCCATCATATGAAATAAGACAGAGTATAATAGGGCTGGATGTCAAAATCTCTAGAATATTTAAGAAAATTAGGTATTTCAAAATAGGGCTTATTCCAGGCTCCTCTCATTTGTGAAGCTCTTTCTTAGCTACCAAGGAGCTCATTAGATGGTCTGTAATCTAATGTCCTCTTCTCAGTGAGGCCCAGGAAGATCCCCTACCACATTAATGTGCCCACCACACTGTCCTGATTTTGAGGGGCTAAGGTATCTTTTAAACAACAGATGCTTATTTTATTTTTTCTGATTTTTTTTTTTTTTTTTTTGAGACAGGGATTCTCTGTGTAACCCTGGTTGTCCTGGACCTCGATCTGTAGACCAGATTGGCCTTGAATTCACAGCGTTCCGCCTGCCTCTGCCTCCTGAGTGCTGGGATTAAAGGCCTGCGCCACCACTGCCCGGCTGGTTCTGGAATCTTTATGTCCAAGGTGATCCTGTTGCCAGGTTTGGTTTCTATTCAAGCTTGTCTCCTTGGTTTGCAAAAGGTTCTCTTCAGGTCCTCACAGGACCTTCCCTGGTTTGTGTGTCTGTGTGTTGGTGACAATTCCATCAAGACATCCACAATTCACACTCCAAACAGGTCCACCTTTTGGTACGATTCAGTTCCACCATGAGCACCACCCATATCAGACCATTTCTTGCCCAGTAGTCACGTCCCTCCCTTGCAATCTACTCATTTGTATTTTGTGTCTCTGGGTTTCTCCCGGGCATTCCATAGACTCAGAACAGCACGTGGTCTTTGTGACTTACCATTTCATGCTTCACTTGTTTTTGTTTTTTCCTGCAGTTCTCACCCTGTGGATCTTGACTCCTTTGGCAAGTTCCTATCTCCAGAAATATTTACATTGTGAATCATAACAGTACCAAAGTTACAGTTGTGAAGTAGCAATGAAAGTAATTTTTATGGTTGGGGTCACCACAGCATGAGGAACAGTATTAAAGGGTGCAGCCTGAGGAAGGTTGAGAACCACTGCTCCATGACATAATCCCTTTTTTTCTAACCTTTATTATTCAGTGCTATGCCTTCCCACTAGAGCAGGAGCTCACAGTGGGCAGGACATTTATGCCTCTTAGCTATCCAGCACCCGGAAGGCTGCCTGGCATGCAGTGGATACTCATGTATGGTTGGTGAGTGGCCTTAAGTCAGATTCCTCTAGATCAGCGGTTCTCAACTCACCTAACGCCGCGGCCCTTGAATACAGCTCCTCATGTTGTGCTGACTCCCAACCATAACATCATTTTCATGGCTACCATTATGGACTGTAATGTAAATTATCTGTTTTCTGATGGTCTTAGGCAACCTGTGAAAGGGTCACTTGACCTCCCCAAAGGGTTGGTGACCCACAGATGGAGAACCTTTGACCTAGACCACTGCCCAACCTACCTTCCTTCCCTCCAGCTCTCCAAACTCTGCCTTCCCTGGGTACATTGCTGACCTTCCATTTGCTTGCCATTGGCTCCTTCAGATCTCAGTTTTCATTTTCAAAGAACAGAAGTGTCTCCTCCTCAGGCCCTGACACCCTGCTTGCCCCTGAGCCTAAGTCAGCTTCACTCAGTGTCTCTTCACCCTCCTTTCCTGTGCACTGTCTGGTTCTTACTATCACAAAGCTGGAGGCAACAGGAGCTCTGTCGTCCCTGCATATTACATGGTACACGTAGCAAAGTGAAACCAGGATGAACAGGAACAGAACCACGGCTCTCTCACTCACATTCCTGTGTCCTCCTTTCTAGATTCCCAGGCAGCAGAGCAGCACAAGAGGCAGCTGGCTTAGAAAAGTTTAATTGCTGGAAACATCCAGAGCATATGGGCGGTTTGTTATGGGGTCCACAACACTGTAATGAGGCTGTTAGCGCCATGAGACTCTTTCTCCTGGCCTCAAGCCAGGAGAAGCAGGGCAAATGGTCCTAGGCCCCTGAGGAGAAAGCTGCTCCTAACAGCCTGGTGGGGGACCAGCCTCCAGAGTCCTTGACTGGGGCTGATGCAGTAGGCAAGATAGCTTGGCTTGTAGTAACTGAAGATGTCAGAGGAAACCAGCAGAAAGACTAGGAGAGACAGGGCATCCAGAGTTGGTCCAGAGACATGCTACTAACACCTACCTCCCACCCACTGGTCTAACATGCTAGCAGGCAGCTGAAGATAAACGCTAGCTCCAGAGGGCAAAGGAGCAGACCAGTCTCTGGAGCTGCAGAGCGGCCCAACAGCTGTGGAAGTGCCTGAGGCTTGCATGAAAGCCAGGGCTTCTGGGCTGGATGTGCGTGCCAGGGCCAGTGCAGCCTTGTCCAGTTTGCAGAGATATGAGGTGTGGAGGGCCGCAGATGGTTCTGGGAGGTGGCAGTGGCAGCTGTGACTAGGCGTGCCTCGAGTGCAGGCTAGTCCTGGGATGAGAAACCAGGAAGCAGGAGTCAGAGGGCCTGGGAAGTGAAGGTATGCAGCACAGTGTCTCCAGGAGGAGAGTGCTTGTGGGCTGAAGAAGCTGGGCCAAGCGCCCACCACTCACCCACTCATCTTCATCCACCCCTTCAAAGGAGTCCTGGGGCAATGGGTCTTCTCGGTTCCCCAGCTTTGCCACCATGGCATTCAGCAGCTGTGGAAGTGGACGGGAGAGGCACCGAAAGAAATGACTCTCCGACCTCAAGATCTTAAAACCCCAGTTTTAACCCCAACAATGCTAAAACGCACCCTCAGTTAGAACCCTGGCTAAGTTGATGGGTTTTCATTGTAAAATACAGCAAAAGGGGGTCAGAGACAAGAGACTGTAGCATGTGGTACCTGAACTCAAGGAGCTGCCATCTCTGTGCACTGCCTCAAAGGCTCAAACGGACACCAGGCTCACCATGGGCTTAGGGTGCCAACCTTTAACATTGGCTGGGTAAGGGCTGGCTAGAATGTGTGCCTCTTGCTGCCCTCCCTGGCTTCCTGTGCCCTGGGAGCAGCGAAGCACCCCTGGGTGTGACCCCTCCCCAGAGTCTGGTGTGGAGACAAGGGTGACATGTGGTTCTTCCTGCCATCTGGGTTGGGCTCCTGAGCTGGCAGCTAACTAAGCAGATGGAGGAGACATGGAGGACACGTCTGTATTGCACAGCAGCCCTCTCCCGAGGCCCACCTCTTCTTTCTTTTGTTGGTCAGACTTCTCTTCCAAGTATTGTGCTGAGGATGGGGCTCTTCGGGCAGGGGCCTCACGGGGGGCTTGACTTACTGGGGTGAAGCAAGGACAGGCATCAGAGAAGGCCCTGTTTAGAGCCAACCCTCAGAGAGTCTCTGGTACAGATCAAAGAAGTGGCATTAACAAGTTATTAAAGTCCCTATTCACCAGGCCTTCCTATAGCACCAGGATATGTGTATGTAAGGGTACTGCATGTGTTAAGTATGTAACACATGCATGTATGTGTCAACATTTGCATGTAAGCTAGGATAAAACACAAGCCACATAACTTGCTCTCCAGGGGTTCAGAGACTGGGTCTGGAGACATGTCCAGCATCCTTAAGCCAGCTAGAGGTCTCTGTGGCAGCAGAAATGAAGGACTAGACTTGGGCCTTCTGTTCCTCCTTCCACCCCTGTCCAGATCCCTGCTCCCTGCTGTCTCCCCGTTTTATTCCTTACTTTACCTGGGGTCATGCCAGGAGGCTGCAAACTCAGTAGCTGGGGCTGTCCATTAGCACCCTCAAACCAGGCTTTGGCACTGAGCACTGGTTCCCAGGTCACAGCCGTGTCCGGGAACACATCATCCTGGAAGAATTCTTTCTGCAGAAGATGAAGGGGCTATCCTGAGACACTGACCAGCGGCCCAGGACACATAAGGCCCGAGACCTGGTGCCACCCACACTGGCATTCACATGCTTTGCAGAATTTCAGTAGACTATGAAGACAGATGTTTCCCCAAAAGTAGACAGCTGAGAGGTCTGGGTGCAAGAAGAACAGGTAAGAACTTAAGTCCCTCAGTCTCGGCCCAGCCACAGAAACAGGAGATTGAGTCCTTCTCCCAAACTCACTCTGACCCGGGGCAGCCGGAAAGCAACAGGCTCCAAGGAGGTCTGGCGTAGACGCAGGCATCGGGCAAACTCCACATCCCGAATGTCACACTCAGTCTTGGGCAGAAGGACAAAGGCCTAGGGGGAGTGAGGAAGTAGGAGCTCAAGTTAAGAGCTCCTGGGTAGATACAGAGCACCCTAGAGTAGCAGAATTCCTTAGGCCATGCCATGGCCGCCTTGGGTAGCCGGGGTGGTCTGAGGGAGAATGCTCTCTGTAGGCTCATATGTTTGAATGGTTGATTCTCAGATAGTGGAGCTGTCTGATAAGGAGGTATTGCCTCGTTGGAAGAGGTGTGCCCCTGTGAACAAGCTTTGAGATTTTAAAAATCCACGCCTTTCTATAATCAGTTCTCCCTCTCCACCTGCTGCCGCTTGCCCTGCCATGATGGTCATGACCTCACCCTCGGAAACAGTAAGCAAGCCACAGTCAAATGTATCTGGTTGTAAGTCGCCTTGGTCATGGTTTCTCTCCACTGCAACAGAAAAGTAACTAAGACAGTACTGGTGTGCTGTCAGTGGGAACAACCAGTGCTTGTAAGGGAAAAAGACCAGACACGTAGCATTGGCCTGTTTCTACAGAGGACAAAGTCCCACCATGCCCTACGTCAAGCATACGGGAGTATGCCATATGCCACTATGGGACAGTCCCCTGCCCTGCATGACTTTAACACACATGCATACCACATCAAGATAAGCAAGCAACTAAAGAGGATTTGTGTCCTTGGATTTCTGTTTGATTGATTGAGATGAAGTCTCACCATAGCACCCAGGTTGGTTTCAACTCATGATTCTCCTCTCTTGGCCTCCAGAGTGCGGGTATGACAGGGATATGCCATCATGCCTGGTTCATTTAACTTAACCTTATATGGTTTAATTTTTAGCAGTGTCTGAATATAAAGCCAGCTCTCAAAATTCCTAGATTATAACAGTTAGCTATACATGCTGCTGGGCACAGGATCTTGACTCTCTTGACCCCCATTAGCTCCTGCACTTCCACACATGGCCACGAGGGGGCATGGGAACCTTGCAGTGCAACTTAAAGGTTCAGTGGTGAGGGTGATTATCACCTTGTGAGGGTCAGGTGATGTGAAGCTGTTGCACTCCAAGAAGAAAGGGGCCT